AAAAAAAATGCACATTCCTCCGTAAAATTCACGATGGAAACCGAACGCAATGGAATGCTCCCATTTCCGGGTATCCAGTTGAATTCTGGGTATCTTACTTATCCAGTTGCTGAATAGATCGCCACAAACAGAGACAGAGGTGTATGCAAAAGGCACCAATTCAGGTCTACTCTTGCACTATCAGAGTCATGTTGACAATCGCTACAAAAAGGGTTTACTAACTATGCTTGATGGAGCTCATAGTTTATCTTCATCTTGGACACATTTTTCAGACGAATGTAACCGTTTGAAATCAGTATTCTCGCGGTTGAAGTATCCCAAACATCTTGTTAATTCTATCATCAAAAGCTTCGTTGACTCCAAAACTTGCGACCAACAGCAGCCCTTATTATCATCTAAAGAGACAGACGACACAACTCGAGTGGTTTTACCTTAAAAAGACCAAATCTCAGCAGATATTGTCAGGAAACAACTTAAAGATCTAAGCCTAAAAGTACACACCACCATCCAGCTGTGTTTGTGAGCCAAAAAATTGAACAAGAATTAAAAGTGAAGGAACCAAAGCCACCAATTGTAAATCAGCAGTGTGTTGTTTACTGTTTTCAATGTGACCTGTGTGATGCGGGTTATGTAGGTTACACACGCGGACATTTACATAATCGTGTAAAAGGACATAAACAACAATCCTCCGCCATTGCCAAACACTTTTCGAACAAGCACGGGACAATGGTCCTGGGCCTGCTAAAGCGTTTCGAAGTACTTAAGAAATGCAGGAACAAATTTGACTGCTTAGTGTACGAAATGCTTTTTATAAGAGCGTTAAAGCCAAATCTGAACGTGCAATCAGACTCCATCATTGCGAAAGTATTTTTATAATATTTTTATGATCTTCGCATCCTCTTAGGTTAATTCTTCGCGCCAAAAACGCTTTATATGTTGCAATTTGCATGATCTTTTCTACTATCCTTCATAATGGAGTCAGCGTCGAAACTGATTTTAATTTACGATTTTTCAATTTTTTTACATTTTGCCTGTTTGCTTTTACAAGATACATAATTGCATCAAGATATGATAAAACGAAACGCGATAAGATGTTTTCAAAATATCGCAATAAGCTAACTCATCATATTTCTTATTTGGTTAAGCGAGTCTGATGGGGTGGGGTATGTTGCCTGAGCACTTTATATCGCCACCCTTTGGTTCAGAAGGGACGGGTTATATATTTATAGTAAAGTAAGTAAAAGAGTTTATAATTGAAACTAACAAAAAACTTTGATTGAACATTCAGTAACCTTCACCTTGGTAAAAAATAAATGTCTATGAATTTACTTTGAAATGCTCTTAATTTTTTTTCTAATTTTAATTTGGTAATTTTCTTATTTTCTTTACTCTAAGAACAACAGCCTCGAGCAGGTATTTATCGTCTGGAATATGGAAAAATCAGTTTACATTCGTGGCGAGAGTGAGGCAAAGTAGAAATGTTTGTGGTTATGTTTTTAGCATAACAAGCTGTCATGGTAACAGTATAACTTTTCTATAAATCAATCCTAGCATTGCTATTGGAGAAGATCCATAAGTTTTGTCCTTAGTTCTAGCCCCAGTATTTCCTTCAAAATATAATTTGCTGAAATGTTAGGAACTTACGATTCAGATCAAAAGGCTTATCACTTCACGGTTTGTTTTCCGATCAGTAAACCCTGTCGGCGTAGAGATTCAAAAAACTTATCAGATGCAATCATTCTGTTCCATTTATTTGTGATAAGTTCTAACTTCTTATGACATAATTCCGTTTTGTTTGTGAGGCCACTACGATGTTGTTACAGAAGCATGGCTTTACTGTCTTCAGGGATTTTTAAGATCATGACCTTGAAGTTTAGAGAGGGTCACGTTAAACGTTTTGACATTTCTGTCAAGTAAAAGATTGTGTATTTTATGAACGTGAGCTCGGACAAGCTAGCGCTGGATGGGAGGCATGCGGCTTTTGTTTCTGATGCGCTTCATGGTTCCTCTGACGCGCAGTTCTCACCTGAAAAATATTGATAATAACTGATTCGCCTTTACAACATAACCAAAGTAAAGCGCGCACTCTGATTGGTCAATTTAGCGTCCCCCATTTGCCCATGGGTGTACGCTGCTGACCTGAGTAAATGCNACAAATGGTAAACACCACAGCGTACACTATTGAGTTATGGATGTACTTGGGAGGTTTGCTAAGCACTCAAGAAGCTAGATTCGCTCTCGGCTATCGCCTCGAGCGACTCTTACGCTTCTTTCGTGCTTAGCAACCTCCCGCGTGCATCTATAACTCAATAGTGTACGCTGTGGTGTTTACCATTTGTCAAATAGACGACAGTTTTTCTATCAAATTTTCAGATATTTATTTTGGGCGGGGAGAGGACGGAATTATGAGGGTGTAAAAGTAAAGAAAAAGTAATCTACAAGCTGTAGCTGGTGGTATAGGGTTGGTGAAACAGTCTAAAGCACAAAATGTCAGTAGTAAACCACATAAAGATTTACTGAATATTAAATTAGAAACTGGAACTAGATGAACTGCCTTACACAATGCGTATTTGCATGTTATCCGATGAAAGTACTGAAAATCAACTCGCCATGTTGAAGTAAGAACGAAAGGTTCGGATCAAAAGCTTGTAATACCTAAAAACATTTAAAATGAAATATCTACACTTGTCATGGTTAACTTCATGAAATATCAGCATTGAAATATTTTGCGAACGCTACCTTGACCTCCCTGGTCTATGATAAATCACTAAACTGTAATTGCCATGTTTTCTGAATTTCCTGAAAGACTATCTCCCCTCTTGACTAATAATTTTGACAAAATTTTATTGAAATTGTATAAAACGACGCATCATAAAGTGGCCTTCATTGAGTACTCCAGTAGACACTACTCCTTTTCGGATCGAAGATGAACGAAATTTGGGGTTTGCAGTGTAGTATCTTCCAAAGTTGTCTTGGTCAGGTACAGCCGGGTCCACCTTTAGAAGAGTGTAAGAAGCCGTCCATATGCAGAGGAGAAGACTCTTTTTTATACCATGTTTGAGTGGTGCAATTTTTCAGTACACTCATTTCTCCGGATGACATGTTCGTATGGACGACAGGTTTCTACCACCGAGGATACGTCTCTGATGATGTCAAAGTCTTCGATTGAGGCTCGTAGATAATTCTTATATACGGTGCCATCTGCGTTGAATCGACAAGTAGCTCTCCAGTGAGTCGAGTGATTTCTGAGCCAAAGTAGGTGAGGTAGGTAGGTAAGAAATTGAATCAAAAGCTTAGCCTAAATCATTCTAACTCGTATTCCCAGCCTGTTCGGTTGGAATGACGAGGTTAATCGATCGGACCTGAAGTTTTCACGCAGTGGAGACAACATACAAGTTAAAATTTGATCGAGGAATCCGCCTTATTTTTCTTTTTTTCACCTTTCAACCCACTATTATTTAGCATAAATCCTGCTGGCGTCACGGCGTGTCAGAATAAAAAGAAATAAGCTTGGCAAGCATCATTCTGACTTGTATTTCAGCCAGTTTCGATGAACTGATCTTGAACATAGTCGAACCTGATGTAGAGGCTATCAGAAATTACAGAGGGTATCGAAACTGATTTTGATCGATAATTTTCTCTTTTCGACTTAAATCTGTTCACTCAAAAGATCCCTTGTGAAATATCGTTAAAGGACATAAAGAAAGGCAATGAAATTTTTTACTCAGCGAAACTAGTTAGTTAAATAGAATCTTCAATTCGCTGTATTGCTTATGTGGTAAAACAAGCCTGCTAGGAAGGAGTTTATTGCCTAGGGCTCAATATTTTTTCAGAGAGGAAGTGCTATTTACACTTCGTTAACGAAGTAAAAGCGTCGAAAAACACTAATTGTAACAGTCACGAAATGTTGATTAAATATACACTGACCATGGCCTTTATTAAAAGTAAATATGAATGAGAGGGACTTTGAATCCCCTTCAAAAATTCATTTTTTCAAAGTTTGGGAATTCTTTTTTTCTTTAAGCTCAAAGTACAACAGCCTCAAGCAGTTAGTAGTCGTCTGAAATTTAGAAAATTATCGGTTAACAATCGTGGCGGGAGTGCAGAAGAGAAAAAATGTTTGTGGCTATTTTTTTAGCATAACAAGTTACCACGGTAACTGTATAACTTTCTAATTGCTAGTGGTGAAGATACCTAAGTTTTTTTTTCCAATAAATTCTGATAACCTCAGAAATTCTGTCCAAATATAATTTGCTGTGAATTAAAAAAATGCGATTCGGAACGAGACAGAATTGATATATAGATATATGTCAATTCCATTCATATGCACTTGCTCCTTTAATTTGCCATCTTATTTGATATTCTGAAGATATTCTTATCGTTTTTCACATTGAAGAGGTGTTATTGGATTATGTGGATATCACCTGATGCTGAAAATATCTCAAGAGATTTTGGTCCGATGGTTTCTCTCAGAGCAAGTCACCTTCCTGGAGGCATATCAAAACGGTTGATAGGTATTTAACTTACATCTACATTCAACTGTTTCGTTATTTTGGCGGGGAAATAAATTAAATCCCTCTGACAGATAGCTCGAGTGACTATAATAGCCGAGGTTATTTGCTATGCGTGACTCGTTAGATTGTAAGAAACAATTTTAACACCCAAATTTAGATGCTGTCGGGTTCAGAAATTAAGTTGGGCTTGATTTGATTCGCCCATACAGCAGAATTGCACAGTGTCAAAATTCGGAGCGAAATAATGGAATATGTAAAGGTTTGGGCAATAAAGATTAACTAAGACATCCTCACCTGGTGCACAGTCAACATTTAATTTGTGGTCAATGGGTGAATATCTCTTCCTCTCCAAGAAAAAAACCTTGTGTGTGTGTGTGTGAGAGATATAGATGGAGAGAAAGGCGGAGAAAAAGAATTTCCTTGATTTGATACCTCGAGCAGGTTGATCAAGAGAAGCTACCCAAGGTATCCAGTGGAAATGAATGATTGAACTCGTTTTGCTATATAGATGCCCTGATACGTTCCTCTCTTAGTGAGTTGACAGTTAAAAGTTTCAATACAAATAAAAGCCCAAAAATAGTTTCCATAC